ACGGTTCAGGTCCCTGTTCCGATGCCGAGGGCGTCGCCAAACCTCTCTTGACCGTCTTTCTCGCCTTGACCCTACCGTCAATGCTCCATCCTCTATCTCTGTCCCTCAGACTTCCTGGCGCCGACGACACCTCCCTAGGCAATCGTTCTCTTTTCCTCCCTGGGGGCGTCGGGGTCTCTGGAGTCGGGACCAGTCTCGGGATTCGGGAGAGACCTGGGTGCTCACGCCACTTTAGAGGATGAGGCTGCGAAGGGAAGAGGACACGGGAGACGGGGAGAGCCGGAGGGTTGACACGGATATAAGGGATCGCCATAGTGGTGTTTGCCCGGGGCGGAGGCAAGGGGGTTGTCGGGGCCTGGGGCAGAGGGAGCCGGGACTGGTACTGATAAGGGGGGGCGTAGGGCGTGGCTTGGTGCGGACGGGAGGCCTGGGTTATGCCGGAGCTAGTGGAGTATGAACGGGTGGGGGGCGCCTGGTTTGACATTGTCGTGGTGTTGGAGGGATTGGTGATGATGGGTTAGTGGGGTGAGGCCCTTTTATCGTGGTTAATTGGAGAGCGGATTTCATGCAGCTGGGGATACTAACTTGAAAGCAATGCTCAAAAAGTTGAAGTTGCGACCATGCGAGGTGCTTGATGGTGTGATGTTGAAAGTTTGGTTGGGTTGAATGTGGTTACGACAACAGTCATGCATGTGGATGAGCTTGCATCATATGTCGTCACTCGGAATCACGGAGCGTATCGATCTATCAAGAAATCTTTGGGCCTCTATGCAGTGATCCAGAATCCTTTCTTTACAAGAATTATTAACTACAACTCTCCCGCCCCAGGCTCAAGCCATTCTTTGAGTTTGATATCTCAGGATCGCCAAAGGACATGTATCGCTTCCAAAATGGTTCATAAGCATGCAATACCGAAACCAAAGAGGATGTACGCGTCCGTTAGTTCTGTCGCAATCGATAAAGGACGACAATGGTAGCAGGCCAGTTAGAGGAACGGGTACTGGATCAGTTGAGAGGGTGGGTACGTGGTTCTCAAGTTGCAAGACGATATACCTGTCATCGTAGATGAGTTCAATACATATTAACTTGACTCCGTCTTTGCAACAAACCACGCCTTACCAGTTTATCGAGTTGGATATTCGGAGATTCTGTTTCCATCGTTTCTCCTGCGACATCGTCAGCATACATAGGCTTTCACCTATTCACCTTGCCCCTCAGGATTACCTATCACGATCGATGAGGGACTCCGGCGGCTCAAGACTGTTGACTGAAAAGATTGTTTGGTGGATCATATGTGCTCTTGCTTATACTCCTACGCCTAATTAATTCTTGCCAACCCTCTCTTGATCCTCACACACTGGCACCTCGAGATCGCCCAATAACAAGGTATAAGAATACCGAACCCCAGATTCACCGTATTGGTGAAGGCAATGGCATTCCAGGTATTTCAATCTCCATTCCGAAATCGTTCTATATATTAAAATTTATGCTAATGCAATCTCAGGGGTCTCCTTCAGATACGTGATTCATCCGTAGGAAGGACTCACGTACTTCGCTTCCATGCCCTACTTCTCGTTGATCAATGGCTTCTTCCTCCTCGAATAGACTGCTTCTTAAGAGTGTCGGGGGCGATGTCATCAAAACGAGAATCAAAATCTGGCTGCATCATCTGTTCCGCCTTCTGCTTTCTACTCCTTTCTGAGCATGCACGTTAATCACATAGTACAATCACTATAATAGCGTATGTTTTAAGGATATCAAGCTATCTCATCTGCGGCCTTGATACCCCCCATTAAACAAGAATAATACAAAATAAGACCAGCTAGTTCCGCACCAACGCTAGTGTCATGAATGGACTTTGCGCAACAAAGTAGAGAAGATTAGCACGCATCTAGAAGGACCCAGTCCAAGGGAAGACCGTGTCCAATTTCTCGGGACGATCGGCAACAATGCAAGCTTTTAATCTCCTAGTTATACCCACCGGTACGTACAACGATCTATGCAAAAACTCGAACTTAATCGATCTAAGTGCCCTGGTATCTAGCTCACGTATCTGCCCACCCAGCCCCTGAAGGGAAACAAGGTTTTCCAAACACAACCCATAGCCAAGAGACAGAAAGAAGCTCGGGTTTCAAGTTGGAATGTTCACCAGTTTTGCCGAGAGATCCAACCGAACTTGGCCTGGGTTGGGGTTATATACGAAACATCGATCCCTGCGCAGATCGGAACAACAATTGGCTTTTAAATCAAATAGGCTTGGTGCGCAACCAGGGAGGTGTTGCCGAACCCTTAATAAAAGAACGAAGCGGGTTAGAGCGCAAAGGTCTTACCACCCCGCGGTGAATAAAGTGGAGAGAGTACTAGCAATTAATATGTAGACCGTCACAACTATATTAAAATATTTTTTGAGCTTCGGAGACCAAAGCGCGTACAGAGATGTATGAATAAAAGGACATCACCATCCCCCACCAGCTCTACCGACCGTTCGTTTGTTCTCTCGCACAGCAACAACTGGATTGATTGTACTCCTTCATTCCGTCCTTTCTTTTCACTTCTTTTCATTCACATATTCAGACCTGCAGTGCAGCGTCTATACCACATTCATTTCCAAAATGCGTTTCCAGACCGCACTATCCCTTGTTGCAGCTCTTGCCCCGGCGGTTTTCGGGCAGCTTCTCGAAGGCACGGCCGTAGGCCCTACTACTGCCCTGTCGGCAAAAAGCACAATCTGTAACGTGCTGGATTACGGTGGTGTAGCTGATGGAGCTACCGATATTGGTCCTGCGATCACGAAGGCTTTTGCATGCGTTACTGCCGCTAAGAATGGAGCAACATTGTATGTTCCCGAGGGAAACTACTTGAGTAAGCTTTCTCCTTTCCTTGCCTGGCCTTCGCAGATAGCGGAAACTAACGCCTTTCAGTGTCTACCGGTGTCGTCTTGAACGCAGGATCAAACTGGGCTTTCCAGCTTGACGGTCTCATCACGCTCGATGTTGCGGGAAGCTTCTCTGGCAATGCCATTGTTATCAAGCGTGCCACAAACTTGGAGATGTACTCCAGCAACGGCAAAGGTGCTATCCAAGGAAACGGGTACCAAGTACGCATTTCCGGATCATCACAGAACGCCCGTTTACTCCGCTTCATGAACTGCACCAACTACTCCGTCCACGACCTGTTCCTGATCGATTCCCCCACGTTCCATCTTATCCACAACAACGCCGTCAACATGGAGACATACCACATCACCATCCGTGGTGGAAACAAGGGTGGCCTTGACGGCCTTGACTTGATCTGTGACTCCAACTGCTACCTCCACCACATCGAGGTTACCAACAGAGACGAATGTATCAGCGTCAAGACCCCCTCCAAGAATGTCCTGATCGAAGATATCTACTGTAACCAGTCTGGTGGAATGTCAATTGGCTCACTCGACGCTGCCAGCGGCGGTTCAGAAATCGAGTACATCCACATGCGCCGCATCAACGTGTACCAGTGCACCCAGATGCTCATGATCAAGACCTGGCCCGGCGGTACCGGCGCCGTCGGCTACGTCCGCAACAGCATTTTCGAGGACTTCTGGGCATACGACACTACATACGCTCTCGACATCGATCAATACTGGTACTCCCACACCACACCCAACACAGGTGCTATTGCGTTGTCGAACCTTGTATTCAGCAACTGGACCGGCACGGTGGATAACGGCATCAACCGTGGACCCATCGTGATTAAGGGATCGGATGTGGTCCCGTTGACCAACATCACGCTTGAGGACTTCTCAATGTGGACGGTGAACAAGGACCGTGTGGTGCTGCAGTGCAACAATGTCTACGGAAGCGGATACTGTGCCAGAGAACTTGCAAGCGGGGCGACACCAACCGCGTTTAGCAGCACCGTTACCATCACTACCACGATGTCAGGCTTCACAAGCCCGACTAGCCCGGCGTGGGGTGTCGCAGGGTACGGGACTACGCAGTCAATCCCCGTGTACACTCCCGCGGCGTTGTGGGGATCGGTGGCTGCGGCGGAAGTAACAGCCAGAGAAGTTACCAGCACTGCGGCTGCTACTGCAACTTCGACTAAGGCTGCAACTTCGACTAAGGCTTCAACCTCAACTAAGGCGACGTCTACTGCTGTGGCTGCGACAACCTTGGTGACGAAGAAGGCCTCTACCACTTCGTCCTCTGCGTCGGCAACTATCACTGCGACAACCATTAGAACTAGGGGTGGACCAGGCGGACGTGGAGGGCCATGGAGGGCTTAGAAACATTTCTGTGTATATTATTTAGTTATGTTTATATTAGTTTTATTTTAGTGAATTATAAGCAAGTCGGTTAAAAGCTAGGGAATTGCATGTACGAGGGATAATTTTTGTTATTTTCAGTCCTTTGATAAACAAACCGCAGAAGCTGTAGAGATCAAAGAGCCTCTCTATAGCAGAGGATTAAAAGAGTGAGGTGTCGTGAAATATTGGATGAGTGGTTCTAATTCGGGATCGCACCCTCCCAAGATCCTATATATGATCCTTTATTTCTCCATACCCACCTCAATTCAGCACCAAAAGCCAAGTACCAACAAGTACCAACAGTGAACACGACGAAACCAGATCCCGCGCCCACTCCTGCGACACTTTCCAAAAAGCTGTCGATCCGATCATTTCCTGCTTGTCATGTAATCATAGATTCTCACTCGCCCATGTTTTGGTCGTCCTCATGCAGCTATTCATTTGTAAATCCAACTTGACGCGTTTTAGATCCACCCAGACAGCGCTTGTATTAGCGGGACTGGCGGGGGGGGGGACGAAGAGTAAGGCCCTTGCCCCAATGACCACCGGAACGGTCGGATGTCGACGTCATCGATACCTCACCACCACCCACAGGCAGGGCAGGGCAGAGGGAGGTGAGGTGAGGTGGGATATTTAAACCCCCGTGAGGGATCCGATTGTAAGTCGTGTTTCTTGGTATGTATTATTGTTACTGTTAATAGAAGACCTGTTTGCAATGTCGGACGAGGAAAACCAGTGGAAAGACCGCTCAACGCCTCACTGGCACCTATACCAGCGCCAAAACCTCATCAACGCCGCGAACGGCCAACTTCCGCCTTTCAACACCGGTATCTCCCTCTACAATATTAATTCTTCCAATTCCCCGTTCTCCTAACACCCGTGCTATAACCACAGACCCCACAAAGCTCGAGCGCGAAGCCCGCGCCAAACTCTCCCAAAACGGCTGGTTCTACGCCTCCTCCAACGCCGGCCAATCCCACACGCACCACGCCAACCGGGCCGCCTTCGCGCGCCACCGCATCCTGCCGCGCACCCTGGTCGGCACGAACCGGCGCGAGACGCGCACCGAGATCTTTGGGAGGAGCATCCCGGCGCCGATATGCTTTGCGCCCATCGGCATCAACGAGATCTACCATGCGCAGGCGGAGCTGGCGGTTGCGCGGGTGGCGGGCAGGTTGGGGCTGCCGTATTGCCTGAGTACGGCGGGGAGCAGGCCGGTTGAGAGTGTGGGCGAGGCGAATGGAGAGGAGGGGGTCAGGTGGTTTCAGCTGTATATGCCGCATGATGACGAGTTGACGATGAGTCTGTTGAAGAGGGCGTGGGTATGATGCGGCTGTCTGTCTGTTTCTGTTGGTGGGGAGGAGGTGTGAGCTGATGAGAGGCGATTGGTGTACAGGGTGCGGGGTTCGATGTGCTTATACTCACTACTGATACCTGGCAGTTGGGCTGGCGGCATGACGATATTGCGACGGGGAATTATGGTTTTGAAGAGTCTCCATCACTTTTGTTTGCTACTGTGCTGACCGCAACATAGCGTTTTATCATGGCCGTGGAGCCTCCTTGGGGTTTACAGACCCAGTATTCCAGCGTCGCCTGAAGGAGGCCGGCATAGACCCTGAAACAGACCCCAAGGCCGCCGCCCAGAAGTGGATCGACACAATCTGGCACGGCCGTTCGCACAACTGGGAGAAAGTCAAGTGGGTCCTGCAGCAATGGAAGACGCTCACCAACGGCAAGCCATTCGTGATCAAAGGCATCCAGGACGCCCGCGACGCCGAGATGGCGGTGGAAGTGGGCTGCGACGGCGTTGTCGTGTCGAACCATGCTGGGAGACAGATCGATGGCGCTGTTGCAAGCCTGGATGCGCTGGAGGGGGTTGTCGCTGCGGTGGGCGGCAGGACGACGGTGCTATTTGATTCGGGGGTACGCTCGGGGAGCGATGTGTTTAAGGCGCTGGCGCTGGGGGCGAAGGCGGTGCTAGTGGGGAGGTTGTGGGTGTGGGGGTTGTCGATACAGGGGGAGGTGGGGGTGGAGCATGTGATGAGGAGTTTGCTGGCGGAGTTTGATTTGACGATGGAGTTGGCGGGGTGTAATAGGATTGAGGATATTCGGAGGGATCGTGTGAGTAAGTATATCTATATATCTGCGATGGTTCTTCTAGCTCCCTTGGCGTTAGGTTCTGTGGTGGGCACTGACGGGGCATGGCTGGTAGGGACGGTGGAGGAGATGGACGGGAAACAAAAAGCGAAGTTGTAGAAGGGCCTACTCAGAGAATGACTTCCACAGGCCCAAAAGAACAAAGCCAGGGCGGAGTCCCATGGCTGGGCGGACTAGCCATTGTGTTTCGTGGCCTGGTCGAGCCTTGGTCATGTTGTAATTATCTATAGTTGGTTATCGAGAAAGAAAAAAGAAGAATTTTTTAGATAGAAGCCCGGACCCGGCTCGCTCAACAGAAGAGATTTGACGCTTCCAGGCCGTTGGTGATTGGGGCCTCGCTCTCTCTGAGGCCTGGTTGGTTTTCAGGAAAGATGGTTGATCAAGCTCTGCTGCTCTATATTGCTCGAATGAAAGAAGATGAGAGAGATCACGATTGGATTAAGAGGGCGCATCAGCTTACCTTTACAGGGTCTCAAAACTAACACATCTATATACTTAACCATGACAACTGCAATAGCTGTTATAACGTGTCTTAACACCCATTCCGCTACTCGCATGCCCAGACTATGTTGATGATTATCTGCGACAACAAAATCCAAAAAGCAGTCTAGGAGCGAAACTACTTGTACTATTCCGCGAGCCTGCCCCACAAAGCTTGGGGTTTTCAAATTATTATATCGAGGATTATATGTAGTTTGTTCCATGTATTATTCCCCGGTAAATATTGTAAGGGCAGAGCTGGTCTCCTTTACTTAGGTATAGCGTGATTATCAAATTACCGAGTGATCGTCTATGATCCACATTTACAGCTGAGAAATATGTGGATATCATCCCTATTCAATGCCGCCAGTACCCTCAATCGTGAATTTACATGCGCTTCCATTCAAATATAAAAAGTCAGAACTCAATGGGTAGACATAGAAATAATACTAACCTTATGAGTAATTTCCAGGGTTTGGATGAATTCTCTGGGATCGGGAGTAACTGATATTTTCAACACTGTTGGCATGGGCCGAGCGTTGATTACAGGATTGACTTTGGGTATAGATTTCGTCCACCATAGTATAAAGGTCAGCCCTTCAGGTCCACGCTGAAGCCAGGGACTCCTTCTCCGAGTTTGTGGCTTCTTCGTGTAGACATGTAAATAAAATATTAGACTACACAAAACCGACTCCCAGCACCCACTTCTACTCCTTCCTAACCTTATACGTGACCCTGGGCAGCACCCTCCCCACCACCGCCGCAACCCCACACCGCACCATCTCCTCGCCCACAACCTCCACATCCTTATACGCCTCCGGCGCCTCCTCCCACACCAGCTCCTTGTCATCACACACCACCCACCCGGCCCCCTCCATCACCCGCCCCTTCCCGCTCCTCGAAAACGGCTTCATGTTCGTCATCACCTCCGTGTCGCCATTATACTTCCTCGCAATCCCCACCCGCGCCTTCGATCTCGACATGACTCTGCCCGCGCCATGCGCCAGCGACAGCGCATTCTGTGCACCGTGCGATGTAGCCTCCGTGAATAGCGGCCGCAGGATCAAAGTCGGCGTACCGCGGGATCCTGGCAATGGGAGGAAGGGGGTAGAGGGCGTGGACGGCGCGGCGCCTTTGCGGTGGATGTAGACGTCCTTTTCGGGCGCGGCGGGGGGCCACGGCGTGAGTGTGACGTTGTTGTGGTGGATGTCCATGGCCTTGCGTTTTTGGATATCGGCGTAGGAGGCGGGGATGTTGGATTCGGGGCTGTCCCAGAGGGAGGACTCGAGGCAGCAGAGAAAGCGCAGTGCGATTAGGTCGCGGGAGCTTTGGGCCCAGGCACAGGCCGCGTTGTGGAGAGCGAGGTAGGAGATTGCCTTCGGGTCTGTGGCGGGAATGGAGATGTCCTCTTCAGTCGAGGACGAGTTGTAGAACTGCGACAAGACATGCTGGCCATACCCACGGGAGCCCGAATGCACCAGCAGAATCACCTCGTCCGGCGCAAATGGAGGTGTGTAGACCTCGCCCGTGCCATCGTCGTAGGGGATGATATCCTCCACGACCTGCAGCTCCGCAAAGTGGTTCCCGGACCCGATGGTGCCCAGGTAGCGGTCCCAGTCTTCTCCCACGCTCAGCGACTTGCCGTCGGCAGTGCCGCAGCTTAGCCATGCCTCTCGCTCAGCAGGCCCCATCCACTCACCCTCCAGGCCTACCAGGTTCCCCGCGACTTTCTTCACGCCGGCCGCGTCCCACAGTTTATCCGCCTTCAGTGTCGTCCGGTACCAGCTCATCCCGCAGCCGATGTCGCCGCCTATCAATGGCGGGTGTATGTATCCATCCGAGATGAACGTACATCCAATCGGAAATCTCGTGCCGGGATGTAGATCCGGCAGGCCAACGGCAGAGATAATGCCGGGGAGCTTTGCACACTCGTTTAGCTGCGAGAGCGAGACGGGGTCGAGGGCGAGCTCGGATGTGATTGTGTGCACTGTGCATGTAGTGCTGGGGGGTGCTTTGATGTTGCCGACATACTCTTCGCCGGCGGATATGAGCAGGACGAGGTCGTCTTTGAGGTATTGCTGGATGTCGTCTGATGTAAAGAGCTCGTGGCCGCCGCGCAGAAAGAGCCGCGTGGGCTTCTTGATGCGGAGTTTGGCCTTTGAGGTGGTGAAGACGGTTGTGAGGATGTCTGAGGAGGAGGGGAGGAGCAGAGGACAGCGGATGTTTTGAGAGGCGTTGGCAATTAGGGTGAGGCGTGTGGCTGGCATTTTTCTTGGAATCTTATCTGCTTGTATACTGTATATGTAGGTTAATATCGAGATCTAGTTGTTGGAGGGGAGGAGGAGGTGAGGTTTATATAGGGCTGAGTTGCATGCATGGGGGAGCTGAGCTCTAGCTAGGATAGCCAGCTGCTAGCTTACATGTATGCCGGTCCTTTCCCTGTGAGTCAATGCAGTCAATGCAGTCAATGATTGAGTCAGAGAGAGCCTCAAGGTCTTGGCAGTGCAGGGACCTTGCATCAATTGCAACCCAGTCGATGTATGCAGGTAGAGTACAATACTATCGTGCCATTCAGGGACGTCCATAGTACCGCAGCTTAGCATCAAATCCTCTGGAGCAGCAGAGTACCGCGCGGAGTACAGCAAGGCAGTGCGTGTTCCAACGGTCGTAGCAAGACCAATTGCCAAAACCACAATATGCAATTGTAGAAGAGAAGAGACGATGATGATAATATCAACAGGACTACTAGCGTTTCTACATAATTAAGTCCACGGTTGTAGTATACGTACGTAGCTGACAGTCACATGCCGGTTGTCCGCGGCTGGAAGACCTGAGTGATAATCTGTGCTCTGCACGAATTGAAAACAGTCTGGGACGAGACTAACAAGTACATCGGACTAGTGTCGCCAGCCAGGGACGTCGGTGAGGAGTATATACAGCAGGTCACAAGATGTCACTCGGAACGTTAAACTAATTAAACAGCATGGAACGGGGGAATTTTTGGTCAGGGGGATTGATTGCACGGGTTGCAACACAAGTGATATGTTGGATATGGGTCGTTCTAGACAGTAAGGTCACGATGTCGAATAGTAAAGGATCCGCTGTCAAATTGTAAAGGGTCTGTTGTTAAGAGGAATGGTGGCCTACTCGGGCTCTTATAAGATAGCTTGTATCAGCTCTAGACATCGATATCCATTAAAGGCTCGTCCTACTTTTAACATGGTATAGCCTTCGCATTGGTAGGAATAACTTAACCACAGTCTGTCAACAGGACAACTATCACGAATCTTGATATACCTTTTTAGAGAAGTTTAATCAAGACTTTATTGCAAACTCGTAATTAAAGGATAACACTCTCGACCGAATAACTAGACTAAACAAGATTCCAGGCCTCCTCCTCCTCCTCCTCCTCTACTGCCGGCTGCTTCTTGACAACCTTCGCCTCCACTTCTGCTGGTGCCTCCACGGCAATTGCAACCTTCGCCTCCTCTTCAGTTGGCTGCTTTACGATTACCTCTGCCTCCAATTCAGCTGGCGCCTCCACTGCAACCTTCGCCTCCTCTTCAGTTGGCTGCTTCTCGACTATCTCTGCCTCCAATTCTGCCGGCCCCTCTGCAAGTTCCACATTCTCTCCAACCAACAGCTGCGCCATCCCCTCCACGATCTCCCCCTCCGATGACTGCCCCTCCGCACCTCCCTCGAGCTCCGCGTCCTCGACAACGCCCGGCACCACCTTCCCCCCCTTTAAATCCTCTAGTGTACGTGTCAACCTATCCACCTCCTTCCTCACAATAATAATCGCCTGCCAAACGCTCCTCAAGTGTGTCTCCGTCTGGCCAATCGCCCACAAGATATCCTTCTGCTTGCGCACCGCGAGGGCCAAGACCGGCCGGCTGTCGCAATAGCCATTAAACCCGCACGTCGCCCGTCCTCCCGCACAGTCCGCGCCCGACGATCCGGTCTTGCGCTTGTATTCGTCCTCGGCGATGCGGAGCATGATGTTGTTGATCTGCAGCTTCGCCTTGGCGTCTTTCATGTAGTTGACGGCGTAGTTGTAGCGGCCGCAGAGCTGCTGCAGCTTTATGGTGCGGTGCTGGAGCTGGGTGGTGAGGGATTTCTTCATGCGGGAGAAGGACTTGGGGGCGAGGGAGAGCTGGATTGTTGCTGTGGGTGATTCCATTGTGCTGGTGGTGGAGGGTAAGTTCTTAATGTTGTACTGGGGGTTGGGAATTGTAGTGGTGTTTAAAGTTGCAATTGGTAGAGTTGGAAGTGTAGGATGTGGCAGGAGTACGAGTGTGAGATGGGGGGTTCAAGTGGTACGTAGCTCATAGGTGTTTTATGGTGCGAAAGGCAATATTTCGCATTCAATGCATAACTAGCCTTTAATAGACATCGGGAGTAAGGCGCCACGGGCATTGAATCCTCACTCCACCTAGGTTCGAGCCGTGAATGACCCGGGAGCTACATGTAGCTATAGCCCATTGAATTATAAAAAAGCGAGACAACAAAAATATCTGATCGACCCCGTGCAAGTACCAGTGCTCGACATACCCTAGCCGGAAAAAGCCGCACGAACGATCATTTCCACCATTCAATTGACGAAAACGTCCAGAGTCGAAAACACACGCACGCCAACAGCTAAAACTCCAAAACGAAATGAAAAGCGAGTCATGGCCCATGCATGCTGCTAGCCACCAAATGCTAAAAAATATTTACACACATCCATTCCCGGAGTCAAAACCAGGGTTAGGGTACATACATACCCAGAACCAAAAAGCACAGTAAGCAATGATGTCAGCCACTAGCGTACCTGCCAAGCCAGTCCCTACAAACCTGCGAAATTTCTGCCCTTCCCTCTCTTCCACAACCACAACCACAACATCCGTCTCGTTCATCGTCTTTTTCACCAGATGAACCAGAAACGTCGTCATGGATTCTACTAACCATCCAATTCAACCCCACCCATCCACAGCACAACACCAAACTGTAAGCCCTCCCAATCCCTCCCCCTCTCCCCCACCCCATATCTATCTCAACCTCTCCTACTCCCACCATCACTGGATGATGATTTAAATATACACTGAAAATTCATAACGTCTCGTTGAGCGGTGGGACCCACTTGTGGGCGCCCCCTCCGCTCTCTGCGATTTGCTGAATGCTTTTACTTCTGACTGCACCCTTTTTTTCAACTATTTCGCACTGTTCTCTTCTTGGTCTGGATGATTGAGGGCTTGTGCTAACGTTTTATTTCTACGTGAAGAACTATTAGATGTCTTTAAGGATGGGGATGGAGAGGGAGAGGGAGAAGGTTGGGACTGCTCATAGGGTGCCCGCCAGGACCCCTCCGACAGGAACCCCCGCCCTGTGCTGAAGTGGTACCCCACGTTACAATACCGACTTCCACCCCCCGTGCGACGGTCAGGTCTCGAGATGGCTCTTCCATCTCGTATCTACGCTCCCGTCAAACTGGAGGGAGTATTGGTGCCAGCCTTACTAAAACCAACCTTTGGCGCCAACGGCAGCCGGGGAAGAAAAGGGTTTACCAGGCACCTATAACGTGTAGTCGCTCACCCACTCACAGGATTCCCTGGTTCCGGGGTGCGGATGCACAAACCATTGGTCTAGTGCCTGCGCTGGTGGCTATTGGGTCAACGGTCTCGCACGACTCTGTATAAAAAAAAAAAAACTATCTCTCCACACGCAGATAAAAATAAAATGAAAAAAAAAAAAAAAAAAAAAATTGCTCTTTGTGGCTTCCATCCAGATTCTGACTTTCGCGTTTTTTACCGGTGATACTCTACATTTAACCCTTAAAAAAAATAATGTTTCGAGAGAGAATATGGCCATGGTATGTTTTGCATGATCAGTACTGTTCCTCCCATTTATCAAGAAATCAGATGGAACAAAAGCGGTGCACACCTACATGTAGGTATTGGACCTCCGGTGGTCTTGGCGGCTGTCGCAAGGTGATTTGATGTTCATTGTATGTAGTAGGATGGAGTTTTACCGTAGTGGTATAAAGCTGAGTCTGGTGTTTTAGTTGGCCTAGCGACCACTAACATTTTAGAACGGTGCGCGGCTGTTTAGATATAAAAGACTTCCTTGGGGTAGAAGAGAATAAAATCCCGGTGAGAAAACTTGATGTTTTCCCCGCTGGATAGAATGTCTATAATTTCGTATTCGGGGTGAAAGGAGACTTAATGAAACTATCGGAATTGTTCCTAAACCACATTATCACAGACTCACAGACCATCACTCGCGGTTATAAACTTTCCTCGATTAGGATAAAAATTACAATAAACAAAACTCTGCCACTATCGACAAAGCTACCAAAAGACACACACAAACACTCAAACTACATATCTACAAACCCCCCCACAAACCTCCAACCACACGATTTACCAAACCCCCCAACACACACACACCTAATTAACTAGCTAAGATAGAGCGCCTTGCCCCACCACTCACAAACCTCCTTATCTCCACTCGCATCTACAACCGTCATATTCGTCCCACTCACCACCAACCCCTTCCCCTCACTGCCAAACGTCGGCCACATAACATGCTCCGGCCCCACGCCCGTGCCATTACCACCCTGCAACTCATTCGGCGTTCCACCAACCACAAAGTTCATCACAAACCTCCTAGTCGCAAGGAGGATATCGCGATCGACGACAGCATCCGCGCCAGGAATCTCATTGAACAGCAGCAAGGACCAGGTCCCGTGGGCTCCGGGCGCGATGGTGGTGACGAGGTTGTAGGTGCTGTCCGGGAGCGCGGCGGACATGGCATAGCGGTTGCAGTCGAAGCCGGAGTCGGCGGTGACCTTGATGAGGCGCTCCTGCTCGGTCTTATACGGTGTGCTGTCGCTGGGTGGGGGGTAGAGCGCGAGGAGGTCGGCGATGGAGGCGTTGGAGATGCCGGGGAAGGTGGACGTGATGTGGTCTGCGCTGATGGTGGTCTCGTTTCCGATAAAGGATTCGCCCTAAGGGTGTGTTAGTGGGGATGAAGAAGGGGTGAGAGGAGGGAGAGGGGAATGTACTTCGTTGATGTCATCCATGACGAGGATTTCAACGTCTTTCTGGATGCGGCCTTGTGCAAAGAGGTATGAGGGCACATCGGGGACAAGATCCCCGTCTACGGAAGGCCCAAAGCCGAAGCCGGGGGGTGCAACATCAGAGATGATCTGCTTATTGATGAGCTGCAGCTGCTCCGTGGGGACGGCACGAAGACACTCAATTCCCTGATCGGTACCTACATCGCATTATATTAGCAAAAAATCGACACTCTCTTAAGGATCCAAGCATAATACAATTTGTCGCAGCCTGCAAAGACAGATAGCTATTCTCGGCGCCCGAATGTCCACCAATGGGAAAGAACCCAGGTCCAATGGGGATGGCCCTCTTGAACAGCTTCTCGCCCGTACCACCGTAGGCGGAGATCTGGTGCATGATTGATCCAGCGCCTGCAGAGCCGCCCATGACGGTGACCTCATCCTTGGAGCCTCCAAAGAGATGGATCTTGTCCTGTACCCACTTGAGCGCGAACCTCTGGTCGTAGAGACCCGCGTTCGGGACTGTGTTGTCGCTGAGCGTGAAGCTGGGGCCACCGAGCCAGCCGAAGGCGCCGAGACGGTAGTTGGGCGCAACATAGATCACAGGGCTGGGGGAGTCAACGAGGAAGTTGATAGGGTCCCCATACAGCGTCTTGGATCCTAGGACGTATGCACCGCCGAAGAACCTGCACCAATTAGCCTAATGTGCTCTATTGCAATATTACTGGCTAGTAATATGTGCATTCTACTTACCACACAAGCACCGGCACGTCGGTATACTCCCCCTCAAGGACCTTCCGCGGCACAATGACGTCAAGGAACAGGCAGTCCTCGCTGACCCCAACCTTTTCTGTGAGGTCGCTGCCGGTGTAGGCGGGTTGACCTTGGGGACAGGTTCCTCCACTGCTGCCGTCTTGGACTGCGGTGCGATTCTCCAGCGGGGCCTGGGGAGGGGCAAAACGGAGGGAGCCAGTGGGGGGAGCGGCGAAACGAATGTTGGAGAAGGTGTAGGCGTCGTAGGATTCCTGATAATTGTGTTAGGTGTAGTTGAAAGAGAAGGGAGAAGTAGTGGGAAGGTACGTTGTAGGAGGTGGCCTGGTGAACGGCATAGCCTAGATCAATCATAGGGAAGTCGGTAGTGCTGAGGGTGCTGTTTGAGGGGGTTGGTGCGGCAGCGGCGAGGGCTGAGAGCCCGAGTGTGAGGGCCAGACTGGAGAGAATCATGGTGGGCGATTATTGTATTACTGCTATTATTTGATTCGGTAGTATGGACTGTAGAGAAGGTAGCTGAGTGATAGCGATTGAATATAGAGGAGAGATAGGACGGGTTTATATACTTCACTGGAGGGCCACGGACGATACAGGAATATATTGCGAACAGCATTGGGTATTGAATTAATGGGTAAAAGTCTCTGCAGATCTGATGCATTCATTACCAGTGTTCATCATCATGCTCAGCCATGATGCTTCTCTGCTGTATGTACATGTCCCCATTAGTGTTCATAACCATCCTGGACTGGCTCCCCGTGCTAGGGCTGAAACGGGTGCGCTAATCAAAGATTATCAGCACAGCCTTACTCACTTGGGGCTAATTAGTAACACCACACCGACTACATGTATTTGGGAATATATGTCATGTCCTTAGAGGTATCTATTAACCTCGACCTCATAATGAGGCAACTGTACTAATTATAATTAGCTGACAGCTACATGTACAATCCATCATGACTCTGACAAAAGAAAAACTTTTTGTATCGACCTACGTCAAGACATTGGCAGACACTTACAGCCATCGATCCATAGGAATATGACTCTTGCTGTTGCATCACCACCACCACCCATGCTCTGGATAGATATTCAGCTCGGGTAATGAACCGAATAACCCCATCATTATACCTAGTCACTAACAAATTAACTAACAGCTCGGAGCCGACGCCCCCGCATCGGAGCCGACAAGTTAACAACCTCCACCTCAGGACCGACTACCGAAGCACCTCCGAAACGCCGAGTTGCACAGTGCCTGTCTGCCTCCGGCAGTGCACGCGACGTTGCGATGCCAAGACCCTGGTTACCTGATTCGTCAAACTGTAATAATAATCATTGACTAGCTGGCCGGCTAGCTGAAA